CGGGGAGCGCGCGCCGGCACCCGGGGCGCTGGAGCCCGACGCGGCGGCGACCCCCGCGGCCCCGGTGAGTGGCCCCGCGCTGGCCCCTTCCCTCCCCATCCCACCCGCAGCCGGGCCTCGGGAGACCACCAGCCGGTCGTGCGGTCCCGCTCGGGGCGCGCTGTCGGCGTCGCCCCCGGTCGGTCGGGACGTCGTGGCCATCGGCGGGATACCAGGGCGGGAGCTCTCCGAGAGCCTGGCCAGCTGGAGCCGGTGGCTGGAAAATTGTCATCGCCTGGGAGGCGCGGATGCCCCGGGAGAGGCGAGCCGCCGCCTCCTCCCTTCGGGGTGGCGGCCCCCGGGGCTGGCAGGCTGTGGCTCCGCCACATTTTGGCCCGGGTCGGGCGGGAGTGTGTGTGTGGGGGGTGCATCCCGGGACTCCCGAGGGAAAAACCCAGCCTTTGCTGGACTGAGAACCTGGCGCCCCCCGGCTTTGCCCGGCCGATGGCGACTCTCAAGGGCCTTACCCCTTTGGGCTGGTCTTGGGGAGAGAGGTGGGCCCCAGCTGCCCAGCCCCCCAGTTCAGAGAGCAAACGGAGCCAGCCTTTGGGGACTAAGTTAGTGGCCTTGGAGGGACCTTTTGAGAAAGGTCGCCTCATGAGCCTCCTGATGGCCCCCTTTGTCCTGTCACCTACCCGTGTCTGGCACATGATGGGTGGGAGGCCGTTGGGTGGGTGGAAACTTTAAAAAAATGAATCCTTTTATTTTCTTTTAAAAATTTTATTTAAAGAAAAACACCAAGTCTCTTTTGTCTTAGGAATCACTCAGGTGGTGGTGTTTATTGCCTTTACCTAGAGCTCAGGGGAGGCCACATCCTGTCTGCAGTCAAAGCTCAGAGCTGGGCTCTCAGCCCACACCCTCCCTCTTGGGGAGGAGGGTATTTACAACCTTCTCCCTTGGGGTGAAGTAGTCAGTGACAGCTGCTGCTCCTTAAGGACCCGTGCACTTGGATAGTGCGCGGAATTCTTGACCCACTGACCCCTGTCTCCCCCCGGACATCAGGACATCAGTGCATTCCCTTATTTCCACTGGAAGGCAGCACTCACTTCAACTTGGCCTTCAGAACCCTGTCCATCTAGCCCTTTCTAGCTTCATCTTCTGCATCCCCTGACCACAGGCTGGTGCCTCCACCTGGCATGCCTTTTTTTCCCTCCAAGCCCATCCCCTCCTACCTCTCCCAAAGCCCTGCTGGCCCTTCAATGCCCAACTTGTCACCTCCTCTGAGAAGCCTTCCTTGAAGTTTCCCAGAGCCATGAGGGAGTCTGTGGCCACATCCCCATTCCCTGGTGGCACCCCTTTTCATGCATCTGTTATAACTCCTGCCACCCCCAGCCTGCCCTGGAACAAGGTGTGTGCTCAGTGAGTGCCTGTTGGGTGGGCAAGGATGAGGGAGCAGAGAAGGCCAGGGGCAAGAGAACCAAGTGCTTGTGTGGATACCTGGAAGAAGGCTGCAGAGTGAAAGTTGGAGAGTTGCCTACCTCCTCACGGTGGCTGTGTCATCATGCCATCAACCTAGGTGCCCCCTAGGTTGGGGAGTATACAGCAGCCAGAGAGCTGAAGGCAGAGCAGGGCCCACTGTCAAAACTTGGTGACTGTTTGTAAAAAGCTCTGCAGTAGCCAATGCCCACGCTTTACCCCTCTCCCATCCACTGACCTTGGCTCTCAACCACAGCCCCTCCCCCAGCCGGGGCTTATGAAACAATTCACCAGGCATTGGACCCTCAGGTTCCTCTCCCTCTCCCAGACCTACCCTGATCCCCTTTGGCTTTTGCATTTCCACCCTATACCTCCACTTGACACTTAGTCCTGGTAACATGATAAGAGTTTCAGAGTCAACTTTCTAGAAGTGTCTGCTTCCTTCTCTGTCCTGGAAGATGTGTGTGGGGGGCTGACACCTCCACACCCTGGCCCAAGTATAGATCCTTCTCTCAATTAAGCAAAGAAAATGACAGCTCCCCAGTAAACCTGGGAACCCAAAGGGCTGCTCTCTATTGCACGCTTGACACAGAAGCCCTGATTCCAGTCACATCAGGTGAAAAACAGCACCTATGTCTAGCATGGAACCTTCTCTTACTCAGGCTGCTTGATGAATCAGAAAGTCAGAAGCTTTGACCAGGCTGGAAGCTGGTTAACCTCTACGCATGTGATGACGTAGAGAACTTTGCAGTGTTCATCTTACTAATGAGTGTGTGGATGCCTCCATCTTGGTTGGGCGTTGGTCTGTCTTCCCCAGAGAGGAGGTGGGGGAAGTTGAAGTGAATCTGCAGTGTAAAAAAAAAAAAATCCCTAGTAGAGTTATTTTGTTTTGGCCTTTTCTAAAGTGTTGCTGAGACAATGATAGGGTTGGGGGTACATAATTGAGGGTTCTGGTTAGTGGCGTCCCAGTTCATCAAGATTTTCTAACTGCCTCGCTGCGAGATGGCACAACAGCCCCTGGCTCTGGCCACGGTGATGACACTGAGCTTGCATTTGTTTCCTCTTTTCTACCTTTCACAGAGCCGCAGTACGGAAGGGAGCACTCCTTAGCGTGCATGCAGATGAGGTCTCAGAGGATGTGTAATGTGGCTCTTGTGAGGGCACACAGCATATTCATGAGAGACCTGGCCACGAGAAACCCAGACCTCTTGGTTCCCTGTCCAGTGCCCTTCCCGTGCTGTGGGTCAGCCCTTCTCAGGCATCATTCCCAGGAGGGGGCGCACAAGTCATGGTTGGGCCTTCACCTGGAGGCATAGAGCCAGGATCTTCTGTGGGGGCTCCATCGGCTTGACGTGTGGTCCATCTGCGTTCTTTATCCTCACAGAATCCAGCCTCTCTTCCCACCCCGCTGGCCTCTGCCTGCACACCGAGGTTATGCCCCCTGTCCTTTGGTGAAGGAGTGGAGCTTGACCCCTTACCACCGACAGAAGTAAGGTAAATATAACAAGCTCTAATTATATTTTATTTTTAAAATTTTATTTTTTCATCCCAGAAATTAATGCTTGTTATTAAAAAAAATTAGTTAAGGGATGGCCTGTTAGTTCTGTTGGTTAGAGTGTGGTGTTAATAACACCAAGGTTTCTGGTTCGATCCCCATATGGGCCACCGTAAGCGGCACCCTCCTTAAAAATTAAAAATTAAAAAAAAAATTAGTAAATCACAAAAGTGTGCCAAAGACTTCATAATTTGGTGGGTGCTCTTTTAGATTTTTTTCTACATCTTAACCGATTAAATACATAGACACATTTTAAAAGTAAAAACGAGATCACGTTAACATAAAGACCTACAACTTGCCTTTTTGCACCTCAGATGTCATGGCCACCAGATTTTAAATTTTCTAATAAAGTAATTCCTCTTTCCAAAAGCTGCTCCCCCTATTCCTACCCCCACCCCACCTCCCATCGCTGCTTGAAGGTGCTGTCACCTTGTTTTATGTTATAATTTCACTGGGCAAGTACCATTCTTCCTTTGGGAATTTATCTTACCCAGGATTATCTGGGAGCAGAGATTCACAGAGAGGCTCTGTTCAAGATGTGTCTTTTTAGAGAAAGGAATTTTACTTTTGGGATCCGGTGGTTTTATAGCTGGAGTTTCAGTTGCCTTAAGACAAAGGGCCCTTTGACATGGAACAAAGGAGACTTACCATTTTGAAGGTGAGCAGTTCAGCCCTTTATTCCTGCAGAGCTTGTATTTTGAACAAAATGAGGACATGACCTCATGACATTAGCTTTCACCAGCCTTTTACCTACTTGCCCAAGGAGAACAGGCATTTTCATCCAACCCACTGAAAAGAATGCTGCTTCTTACATCCCGACCAGTGGGTAGGGGCTGATGTAGGCAGTGTTCTTAGATGTGTATATGTGTGATGCTCATATATATTTTAGTACCTATGAAGCGGTAACAGTGATACAGTAAAATGAACTAATGTCCTTCTTACATAAAAAAATTTAACTCCCAACTTACGAAAGGACTTTAAAAACATAAAGTAGCTGCTGGATGTTGGGTTATTTTATGGAAATCAAGAAGACTGTAATTGGCTGTGATTGATAAGGTTGGATCTCAGAGTCCGTGGGTCTGAGGGGATCTCCAAACCGAAGGCCAAATGGACCAAGTACTAGTACTTGGTATCACTGAGCGTTCAGCACCAGCATCTAGGATTTCTGGGTTCCTTCATCCTCTCACTAAAGAGTTAACTGATCACTTTAGGGGAACAGAGAAACTGTTCACCCTCAGCATAGCCACAGAATCCACCTTGTTATATAATAATTATCACCGACAGCACTTGCTGTATTAACACTCTACCCAGTTATTATTGGGCACCTTTTGCAGAAAGAGGAAACTGAAGCTTGGAGAAGTTAAGAAGTTAAGTTAGTTAAGTAATTTGACCGAGTTCTTATAGCTTAAATGGGCATAGACTCCAGGGACTGCTGCCTGCAATGAGAAACAGTGAGTGCAGGATCAACTCTGGCATCTTGCACACCTGCGTTTACAGCCCCACTACTCAGTCCCACAGTGAGCTTAACCTCTGCACCTCGATGTCCTCTCCCAGCGTTGTTAGGACTATTCAATTGATCCTGGAAGTAAAGTGCTTCAAATAGTACCACTAGTAAGTGTTTCATCAACTCTATGCTGCTTCTGATTAGAGTGGCCACATCTCAAAGTTTGCACCCCATGACAGGTTCAAGGTCATGGTAGAGACCCCTATGCCCCTAGCTCAGAGGAACGGCGTCATGCTGCCTTCCATCTCCCGCCCAGGTACACTTCCTCGGTCAAGTATGACTCAGAGCGGCACTTCATTGACGACGTCCACCTGCCCTTGGGCCTGGCCATGGCCTCCTGCAGCCAGACGGTCACCTGCATCCCCAATTGCACCTGGCGCAACTACAAGGCCGAGCTGCGTTTTGAGCCCCGTCACAAGGCTACCCGCTTCCTCAGCACCACCATCGTCTACCCCAAGTTCCCCAAGACCGTCTATACCACCACCCTGGATTACAACTGCCGCAAGACGCTGAGGAGGTTCCTGTCCAGTGTGGAGCTTGAAGCCACGGAGTTCCTGGGCAGTGATTACCTCTCAGATGAGTGCTGACTCAAGCAGGCTGGGTGGGGCTGGACCAGCTCTTCTGCTGCCCTGGTCAAGTTGGGCCACATTGCCCTTGAGTGTCACTCATGCCCCCAGGAGTCTAATCTAGAGATACCTCTAAGCCCAGTCTGGGGAAGAAAAAAAAAATGTCATGGCATTTTACAATAATTGAGAAAATTTGGTTTTTTAAAAAATGTTCAAATTGTTTGCAAAAGGAGTGTATTTCTAGTTTGCTGCTGCATAGTTTCCCCCAAAGTCTCAATTTGATGAGAAAATAAAAAAGACCACTAGAGCAAAAGGAAAACAATTTGAAATAGGGAGATGAGAGCTCCTCTTCCATTGGTCTGTTTGTCTGAGAAGGAGCATGGAAAAAGTCTCTGGAAAAGTGAGTTTTGAGAAATTTCAGCTCCGGGTGTCTTCACTGCTATGAAAGTGGTGCTAATTCAGTAAGCTGTGACACCCATATGGGTTCAATCTGTGGAGAGTTGAGTTCCATTCCATTTTTTATTTCCATTTCCATTTCTATTTCCTGTTAACCAAAACACTTGGAATTCTCTAAATCTTTTTCATGACATCGAAGAACCCCAAACCACAATAGAAGATGCCTTTTTTTAAAAAAAGAAAAGGTTCATCCTGTTTTCACCTCTTCAGGAGGGTCGGGTCAACTGGTGGCTGAGTTTGGGAGCAATGGCTTCCCTTCTGGTTCCTTCCACCGATTGCTTCTGAGCTCAGGCCCTGGCAAAGCGCCTCGCACCCTTGGCATCTGGTAATGTCTCTACAGGCTTGTGTAACTCTCCTGATATGTGTTTTGGGGTTTCCAAATAGTTTCCTATTTTTTCATAAGGCAAAACATAGCAAAGACAAACGGCATTTTCTTTTGAGAGAAATGGCACTTTAAAAGAATGCTTAGGAACAATGCTTTTGGGGACTCCCCACGGTGGGGTTTCACTCACGATGGGCGCAGGTGGCCAGCCACACCTAGGACCTGACGACATCTGTCTATGTTTCAGGTGATGTGCTTCATCCCGATGGGTGTCCTCTCCTGGGACCCTGGGTCAAAGCTCTTAGGACTTTGATTGTGTCCACATTGCTGAGGAGGTCTGCCAGTGCCTTAGGTCTAAGCCAACAGCAAGGAATTGGCACCCCCTCCTCCCCTGGGTGAAGCAAAGGTGAATTCAAAATAGGGAATGATGTCACAAGTCCACCTCCAAAACCTGGGTGCTATTGTGACAGTACACATTTAAGTGTTCAGTTTAGTGTAAGTGACACTCATGGCGTTAGGTGTGAATTGAAGAAACTTTGTGAATTCAGCTGAACTGGCCTCCAAAGCAGGGAGCGGGGACTGGGCCAGGAAGCTGTGGTGGGTCAGGCTGCCTCTGGCTTCACCCACTACACGCCCTGCCTCACTCCAAACCTTTACTTCTTCCTCCTTCTAATCCTTGAAGTTTTTGAGTGAAGAAAGTGGCAGATGGCTTTTTCTCTTCCAAGACTGGAAAGAACAAATTGTGAATATTTCCTCTGAATACATTCAAATTATGTCTAGGGCTCGAGGGTTATAGAATACTGTAAGCTCAGACTCCCACTATCTTTCCGGGTTTCTGTTGACAGCTTCCATCTGTCCAGAAAGCAGAATTGATAGCTCTATGGGTACCCTGGAGCCGCAGCAGGGACTTTTGTTCCGTGGAGAGCAGGTGTGATGATAATCACGCTCATTTAAAGTCATTGGAGGCCTATAGAGCCAAATTGTCTGGTGTCCTTTTCAGATTTAACAGTGTTTAGTCTGTCGTGCTAACTGATTGGACACATCCCTTTAGTGGAGCCTGCAGTGGGTTGGATGGTCCCGAGTTTGCCACAGTGAGGCTCAGCAGGGACCCCTCAGAGGGGCATTCTGGGACCCCATAGTCTCCTTAGTCAAGTAGAGCAACAAATACTTCCTCTGTTTGGAAGAGTAAATGTCATGGCATTTATAGATAAAAAATGGATTTTTCTCTGATTCCATAACCTTGTCATTTAAGATAACTAGTAAACATAATTTTTAAATTATGTTAGAATTCCCAAGGCCTTGCTCTGGCCCCAAGGGGACACGTGAATGAGCTCAGAACGCTACCAAGGGCAGCAAGGCAGAAGAGACAAGTGCGGGAGAGGATGACCGGCTTTTGATCAAAGTAAGGTTCTGAGATGTCCATAGGAGATTTTGGTTTAGGGGGATTGGGTTAAGTTCAGGCAAATCATGCTAGGGGTGGAGAGAATCTGAACTATATCAGTCAAGTAAGTAGAAGTGAGTGATTGTGAATGTGTGATGCTAATGGAAAAGCAGGTTTTATTTTTAAGTTATTCACCAGGGAGCCAACTTCTTTCTAGTCCTCTTTCTTTAAACCTGCTTGGCTGTAAGTTGCAGGAAAGGAAGCATGTGACGACACAGTGGGACACTTCAGGGTAGATAAATGACATCAATCAGTGGTGGATCATGTTGGTTTGCAAGATGGAAACAATTTTTTAAAACTCGCTCATTAAAACCAAACATTCCTAAGTGTATCTGGGAGATACAGTTTGCTTGTCAATTAAAATGTCTCTTTTCTCAGTCTGTAAAATTATGGCTTTCATGTAATAAGGATGATTGTATTTTCAGAGAAAAGCTGTTTTGTTTTCAAATCTGGGCCTTTAAAAAGAATGATTACCTTTCATTTGACACTCTTCCTGTTTATAACCTTAGGAAATTCAGAATAGTATTTAACAAAAACTATTTTTTAAATTTATCTTTGACAACTGTCCCACTCCATTTTGCTTTGTGATGTCTTCATTTAACAATAAATTATCTAAAAAGAAAAAAAAAACTTAGAAATGCTTCTCTTTTTAAAGTAAAATTTTAAGTGTTTTGGTTAAGAAAAATGAGAAAAAACAGCTCCTTATCTGGAGTAATTTTAAAATGCGATTGTATTTTAATTGTATAGTACTTCTGTTTAGAATATTCCTTCCTGTGGGGGTACAAGGTTTCCAAGAGGTCCCCGGGCACAGATAGTTTTAAGGAATTTGTCCCCAGATTCACTGTGTATTCTTTCCTCAAACCCACCTGCCCTGACAATGTGGCTGTGAATAATGATGTCAGACCCAGCCACCTTTCCCACTTCCCCTTACACATTTCCTTTCTCCCACTTTGCAGAAGAAACGCATGCCTTAGTCTAACCCAGCCTCAATTTTATTGTGGGATGTTGCTTTGGGCAGGAAAACCCTGTAGATACTAGACAAAGGAACAGTTAGACGTGTCGGTCTCTGGGCACCAGGACCCCACCATAGGACTTCGTGTCTAATCAGTGTCCTACACATAATTTTGTCCAGGATGAAGTATGGTGGCGGAAGCAAGGTTGGCCTGTGTGGGGAAGCTCTCAGGGCAGTTGGAGTGATGACACTTTTCATTTAATACCGACATCTCTTCAATCTCGGACTATTGTCTTCCCTGACGGCAAGTCCCTTTGGGCAAAGCAAAGAGAGGGTCCATAAGAGATATTGAAAGTGGTGACATTTTATTTCACTCAAGCATCAAATCCCTGGCAAGGCTCTGGGCCTTATCTGTTAGCTTTTGAGTTACGAGTGAGAAATAAATATGTCCCAGGAAAACATATTATCATTCCTATATATTTTTTAAAAGCCAGTCTCTTTTTTTAACAGAAATTAAGTCTAATTTGGTTGATTGGGATGACAACGAGGGTTAATGTTGTCAATTAGGTTATAGGGTATAAATTTTCCATAAAATGAATGGGCTAACCAGCAGTTCCAAGGTTTTGTTAGACAAATATTTAAAGTATGTAAGATTAAAGTTATAATGTGTGTGTGTGTGTGTGTGTGTGTGTGTGTGTGTAGAGAGAGAAGCAAAAGTGTGTTGAAACTAATAATGTTTCAATCTTCCCCTGAAAAATACCTTTCTAAGTATATCAGGTTAAGCTGGTAACCTCCAGAGAAAAAGTAGTAGGTATAATTAATAATAACATGATAAATCTTAGGAAAGCTTTTTGGTATACTTCCCAGAAATTTAAGAAGTGAATGACTGTATTGATTAGGTAACGAATCCTATTGCAAAGAATGCCTCTTTTCAAAATTAAATTCTAATAATTTGATTTTAGAGTATAATCACTATCAAGTGGCTTATTTCTATTACTGTTTCCCAGAGTGCTTTCTATGGAGTAAAATACGGTTCTCTGATCAAATAAGTCTGGGAAAATGAAAAGCTGAACAATGCTAAATATATTTATTGCGGGGCTTCTTGGATCCTTGCATTAATCAGCTTTTGCTGCATAACAACCACCACAAGAATCAGTGGTACGTGGAAGTAAGCATTGATTTTCGCTTATAAGTTTAAAGGTTTCATAGGACAGTTCTGCCCAAGGCTGGGTGTTGAGTTTGGGTTTGTTCCTCTTGTCTCTGAAGTAGGCTAGGGAAGTTACCTGGGGCACATTCTTCTCATGGAAGAGGTGGAAAGATCCCAGGGTAGCAAGTAAAAACATACAATACCTCATAAGTTCTGCACTGGCACACTGCTACTTCCATTGCCTGTGTTCTATTGGTCAAAGCAAGTTGCATGACCAAACCTAACATCAGCGAGTCAGGGAACCATACCGCCCCATGGATGTGGGGACAAGAAGTGAATATTTGCTGTACAATAAGCTACCATAGCTTTTAATATGTTAATGTGCATTGAGAAGCTTCAAAAGGGAAAATCTAGTACGTAGCATTTTCCAAACTCATGGGACCAGAGAACTAATTTCATAGGACTAATTAAACTGACAAAAGACAGATTACCAGGAGAAAAGGTATACATATTTTATTGATGTTAATAGTTTTACGTTCACGGAAAAGAACTGAAAACCCAAAGAAGCGGTTAGACTTGGGAGTTTACATACCATTTTAACAAAGGGTGATAAATTGAGGAGACATGACTAGACAAAGGAAAGGGGTTTCGGCTTCTAGAGCCAATAAATTGTGGGAAAGTGACGAGAAAATATATTGGGGGAACTAATGGAAGATAAGGATGATTTTATTAAGTCTGTTTATGCAGACTCCTCTTAGTGCTGGTTCTCTGTCTCTGTTGATGAGTTGCTCTCCTCAAGAAAAATGTATGCCTTGCTCTTGAGTTCTTTAAGCAAAGAGCTTTTCCTACATCTGTTGATTCTCCAGTTGCCTTCTGCTCGAAATAACCCTTACATGAAAGTGACATATTCTGGACCCCTTTGCCAGACCACCTGGGTTCAAATCCTAGCTCCCTCTTTTATTAGCTGGGTGACCTGGAGCAAGTCCCCTAAATTCTCTGTAAAATGGGGATAATAGGAGTTTTTTTCTCACAGAGATGTTGTGAGGATTATATGAGTTAATATACGTGAAGTGCTTAGAACAGTGCCTGGCATGAGTCAAAAGCTATATACGTGTTTATTGTTTAAATTATCTTTTGGCTTGTAATTTCACTTCCAAGAATGTACCCAAAGCACTGGAAAATTGCACGAAAATGTGCATATAAGGATATCCCTTGCAAAGTTGTTTAGAATAGCCAACAAAATATGAAACCAAGTAAATGTCCACAAATCAGGATTGAATAAATTGTGTGTACGATGAACTACTAGGCAACATTACAAAGTCTGGTGTGGAGTCAGCTTAGTGATTTGGAAAGATATGTATCTATGTTTTTAAGAGAGCCATTAACAGAAATATGTGTATTTTTACCTCATTAATTTTATTTTCCTTTATGTAGATACATGAATAGAGAAAGACTGGAATGATGGATACCAAACAGATGAAGCTAGCTCTTTGAATACAGGGACTATTATGTGGTTTTTTTTTGTTGTTGTTTTTTTAAAGATTGTATTTTGGGGAATTGGGGGAGGGGAACAGCGTTGGAGAATGGGGGAAGGGAACAGACAGGTAGACAAATTGCTGTTCTGTTCTTCAGTCTAGTTGTGGAGGACGTCACTTCACTGGCCCATGTTGGTATGATCATTGCGCTCTTCCTGGGTGAGGCAATCGGTCGCCGGTCATTGATCGGCTGCTCACGGCGGCTCACGGCAGCTCTCGCCTGCTGCCGGCCACTCATGCTGGCTGCCAGCCACTCACGTAGCTCATGGCAGCCCACTGCAGCCCCGCTGCAGCCTACGCCGTCACCGGGGACTCACAGCAGCACAGCTCCAGGTTGAGCTGTTGTTCACCATCTTAGCTATAGAGGGCGCAGTGTCACTGGCCCTCAATGTGGGATCCGAACTGCGGCCCTGCTGCTCAGAGCTGGCGCACCCAAGAGAGCTCTTAACCAGCTGAGCCATTCGGCCAGCCCTATTATGTGTTTAAAAATGCTTTTTTGCTTATCTGTGTTTTCTAATTTGTCTATACTACATATGCATTTCCTGTATAGTTTGAAAAGTAAAATCTGAGTATAGACCTTTGTACAGCTTTCTGGTGATTTCAGTGTAGAGAAACCAGAGAGTTAAGTGGTTGGTCTGCTTGTCCCTTAGACCTTAGGGTGGAGAACTGTAAAGAGTCCGATTTTATTCTATTTGCAAGCTAACAAGTTGGCCCACCACATTTTTATGGCTGTGAACTAAAGACATGAGACTCTTGAGGCAGAGATAAAGGACAGTTTGTCGCTGCAATAGCTAGAGCGTCAGCATTTGTGCAGGTTTCAGGCCTTAATTCCCACAAAGTAACGTGAAGAGGGCCAGGTGGCCCTGAAACATAAGAGGTTGTGTTACAGGGGAGGAACTCTGAACGTAGGAACTGGAATCGTCTATAATAAGTAGGAAGTAAATCTGCCCGTGCTCTTGAGGGAGACACTCCCTACCTTCCAAGGCTGTTCGTCATACCAACATCCTTCAGAAGAGTCTGGAACAAAGGTGACTTTCCTCACAAGATGTGCAGACATACGAGAGACATGGGGGGAATGTTTCCCAACAGCCAGAGCTTCTCAGATGTTAACGGGCATATGAGTCACCCAGGCATCTAGTTAAACTACAGCATCTGATTCAGGAAGTCTGGGGTGGGGCCCGAGAGTCCGCTAACAAGAGAATTTCTAACAAGCTCCAGGCCATGTTGGTGCTGCTGGTTCCAGGCCCACATTTTGAGCAGAGGCCTTACGCCCCACACTCAGTACCCAAGCATTAGCAGTAGTTTCAGGCCAGAGTGCTGGCTTGAGGGGGTGTGATTAAGTGGGGATGGTTGAGAGAGGTGGAACCCTTCCCAGGGATGATGGGAGACGGACGTGTCAATAGTGTCAAAGGCTGGATTTGACCATGAACGAGTCTCCGTGGGTCAGGAATCTGGGTGTAGCTTAGGTGGAGGCCTCTGGTTTAGGGTCTGTCACAGGCTGTAATCAAGATGTCACTGGCGGCTGTGGACATCTCAAGGCTTAACTGGGGTAGACCTGCTCCCAAGCTCACTCACATGGCTTGGGCTGGAGACATCAATTCCTCACCTGGTGGGCCTTTCCTGAGGTGGGCCACAACATGGCAGCTGGCTTCCCCCAGGACAAGAGCCCTGAGAGAGGGAGAGGGAGAATGTTTGCCAGATGGAAGCTACAGTCTCTCTCTCTCTCTCATTAATGAATGTTATTTTGAGGGCAGTTTTAGGTTGACAGAAAAGTTGAGAAGAAATGAGATTTCCCTTATACCTCCTTATCACTCCCTCTACCCCACCGGTTTCCCCTATTATTAATATCTTACATTAATGCGGTACATTTGTTACAACTGGTGAGCCAATACTGACACATTATTATTAACTAAAGTCCATAGTTTAGGAGTCACTCTTAGCGTTGTACGTTCTGTGGGTGTGGACAGATGTGTAGTATGTATCCGCCATGACAGCACCACATAGAAGAGTTCCATCCTTCCCTCCACCTGTGTTCCACAATCATCCTGCCCCCAAACAGTCTCTTTTCGTAACTTCATCTCAGAAGTGACATTCCATCACTTTTGCTGTATTCTATTCATTAGAGTCAAGAGGTTCAGCCAGGACTGAAGGGGAGGGTGTGAACACCAGGAGGCAGAGATCACAGGGTTGGGGGTGGGCGTCGGGGGGACACATCTACTACACCAATCCACACAAAAGTTGTTACATCCCTGGGATTTGTCTTCCTGCAGAGTCCACAGTGGATATTCATGAGGCTTACACTGTTCCCAAGTCTCCAACCACTGCTGGTTGGAAGCCCAAAGTCTACTCACGATGGGAGTGTCTTCTAATGAGCTGATCACGTAGGCACATTCTTATGTGACCGTCCTTAAAGGTTGAAACCCACCTTCTAGCTCCACCCAAACCAGGTGCAAATCATAAGCCCAACTATTATTACTAAACAGTGCTCCCCGGCTGATACATTCTGTGCCAAAACAACCCACGGATCCATGGTTCCAGAACCATGTTAACAGATTCCATAGTATTGGCCAAAGGTCAGTAGTTCTGGAGATATAAATGCGCAGTCAATCCACGCCAGTTGAGATTAATTCATGACCCTTGATCAGGCTCTTTTAAAAATGAGTCATTCTTCATCTTCAATATGGATAAATCTCTGTCTACTTGGCAGCTCTTTAGGGATTCGCACTGTATTCTATGTAGGTTCTATATAGATTCTATGTCAATCTGTTCAGTATCTGTGCCCAGGGCGAGGTTGCCCCTATCTCCCTAGGTCTGTGCAACAAATACTCCATTTCCTTGGCCGGTGTGATGGCCATATGGCCTGTGTCAGGTCAGATACCTTCTCTGGGGTTGATATGGGCACTAGATAGTGACACAAGAGTAAATTCTCTTTTCTTTGAAGAACTACAAGGATGTTAGGGACCATCTTGGCAATCCTGTTATGAGAACCTGCCTGAACATGGAGCTAATGCAAGGGAGGCAGAGGCAAGATATGGAGACAAATTTTTTTTTTTTAAGATTTTTATTGGGGAATTCGGGGGATGGGAACAGTGCTGGGGAATTGAGGAAGGGGAACAGACAAATTGTTGTCCTTTTGTTCTTCAGTCTAGTTGTGGAGGACGTTGCTTCACTGGCCCAAGTTGGCACCATCATTGCGCTCTTCCCCGGGTGAGGCAGATGAGTCGCCGGCTTCTGGATGGCCGCTCACTGCAGCTGCTGGCCGCTCACGCTGGCTGCTGGCTACACATGGTAGCCCATGGCAACCCACTGCCACAGGGGCTTCAGCCTACACCGTCACCGACGACTCATGGCAGCCCAGCTCCAAGTTGAGCTGTTGTTCAGCATCTTAGCTGTGGAGGGCAGTGTCAATGGCCCTCATATGTGGGATCCAAACCGGGGCCCTCTGGCGTCCCAAGCCAGTTCTTAACCATCGCGCCACTCGGCCGGCCCTGGAGACAAATTTTGATGATACAGTGTGACCTCCTGGATCCAGCCATGCCTGAAGCCACTGCCAACCCTGGGCGGTTGGCTTTGTAAGTCGATCACTCCCTATTGTTGGTAAGCCAGTTTTCACTGGGTTTTCTATTCCTTGCCATTGGAAAGGTCCTCACTGATACACCCTGGGAGTGAGAAAGATACTTAAAACTTCTAACCCAACATGGTTTGAATTAGAGCCACTTCTGTGCTTGTAGAAAGTTTAACCTGTACCCGCTTCCTCTATTTATATCTTAAGCGCAGGCTCCCACGTGGCTCCAGGCTACAAGTAGGCCCTTTCTTGTTTGGCCCAAAGCCCCCTCCCCAGAACACTGGGCTCTGAGACCCTTGCTTCATTCCTCCTACATTTTCTCTTGCTCCAGACCCTTGTAATTTGTTTTGTGGTTTATTAGAATTATATCTATCTGCCAGCCACTAAAGCCATGTTTCTTTGTGAAGTTGGTCCTTCAATGGGGTGAGTGCTACACCATTACCCAGGACAGTCTTTCCAGTGGCCATGTAGCTACTCCAACCTAATATATCATTGCTGAAATAATGGATTGAGTGCTTCCTGGGGGGCCAGGCGCTGTGCTAAATCCTTTACGTAATTACTGCATTTGATTCTCACAACATGGAGGTAGATATTTGCATCCCTTTCCAGATGTGGTAACTAAGCCTCGGAGAGGTTAAGCCATTTGCCTGAGGTCACATAGCTTCGCATATGGTGGGAAAGAGATCAGTTCGGCTCTGGTGTCAAAGCCCGTAAGTTTAACCACTTTCCCAGACGATCTCATGACAGAAAGGTGATCACGGGCCTCCCTCCTACCCCTGCCTGCCATGGGAGACAATGCAGAGCAACCAAGGCATCCTGAGGCTGGTGTGTCCCCAGACTCTTCCATGTACCCCACCTCTGGCCACCACAGCCGACCCAGAGCACAGAGGACATGCCAGCTCGGCTGCTCCACCCTCTGCTGCCTTTACCGTCAGCCTTGGGGCCTGGCCAAGGTCCTGTGGCACGTTTCCCATGTACTCTTCCCCATGGAGCAGCACCAAAGCCCCGGTTCCCCTTCACTTGATTCTGTGGGTGCTCCTCAGGCTGGACAGCAGATGACAGGCCTCGGGATAGGGAGGGCCGTTCCTGTCGGCGTCAGGGCCCCTGCCGGGCGCAGCTGCCAACCTCCTTTCCAGGGGAGGACTGGACTCTTCCAAAAGTCCCTTCACTGTATTCTGCTAGGGTGGGGTGGTCAAAATGTAAAAACTCTGTAATCACCTGTTTAAGGAACAGTGAGAAGAGGGCTGATTTGTCAGCTAGGGGAGAGCAGGGACCAAGATGACTGCTTTGTTTACGTTTCAAAGAAGCTTTGTGTGATGTTTTGTATTGACTTTCAACTTCTCCCGAGTACACTGCATGTCTTTAACTCCTTGGAAGGCAGGGACCTCATCTTAAGTCTCCACCCTGTCCCTCTCAGGCGCTGTGCGGTGTTGCACACAGGTGGCCAGTGCTACCTCAGAGACCACCATGATGCTTGGGACCTTTCAGGCTGCATCTTTGTGCCTGAGGGCGACTTCCCCCACAACTGAGGCAAGTCTCTGAGACCACAGGTGTGGCAGGCTGGAAACAGCAAGGTATCAACACCCCCAAGCCCAGCCCTCGGCCATGGCACACAGGTGGGATAATCCTGACAGTGTTTCCTTGGGGGATGAAGCCTCAGTTGCCCAGTACAGAAACTGGTTGAATAGTGTCCCTGAACTGGCTGTCTGCCCTTTCCCTGTATCCACTCTACTGATCTTTCCTTCACCTCCCAGATAATGTACGTGCACTTGAGTCCTTGTCTGAGGGTCTGCTTTTGGGAGAACACAAACTAAGGCAACACATGGTCCTCACTCAGTAAATATTTGTGGAAAGGAAGAATATTAATTTAGGACAAGTAGTAGGAGGGCCTTTTTTTTTTTTTTTAAAGCTGAGCCATCCTGCCGCCTGTTGGCAGCTCAGTGGCTGCTCAGCTCGGGCCAGGCATCGAACCGCTGCTGCTCAGAGCTCAAACTCTTGAGCGAGCTCTTAACCAACTGAGCCACTCCTACGGGAGGGCCTTTTTAATGCACCAGAACTTTGCTTAAAGTACCATCTGGAGGGATTAGGGGAGGATCATATTTATAAGAGAAGCAATATTCCTTCTGGGACGTCTCATCATAATCTCCCAGGGATGGAGTTCTGGAACTCACTTATTATGAAGACCACCTAAGGGCAGGGAGTGTATTTCATTAAAAGAAAAAGTCTCCAGGATATTTGGGGCATTTTCCTTGAGCCCACAGAAGCGGGCTGCGTGTGGAGTTTTACCCATGAAATTAGTTTAAGATTTAGAATTGACACAATCTACACATTTTTTGAGGGGTGGGGGAGAGGTGGGTTATAGACATCGAACTCTGATAAGACATTAAATAACAAAGAGATGCCAGCTTATCTGAGAAAAAGGAAATTCTGCAAAGAACTGCTTCAGTTTCAGTTCATGAAATTGCTTACGTTAAGGCGCGGTGGCTACCCTGGGCAAGTAAGGGCACCTTGGGGAAAGGAGAGGCTGACCTCATCAACACACCAGACATCTGCTTCCTTCAGATGTAGGTCTGATTTCCTTTTATTCTTCTTTTTGAACACATAAACTTGAGGTAAGGATAAATTATAAGCTTGTCAGTATCACGGGTGGATTTTCACTCAGGCAGAGCAGTAGCTAAATCATAGTGTAGGAGCTTTGGGGTAAGGTTTCCTTCAAAGCAGTGATTAGGGAGGTCAGCTTTGACTGAGGGCTGCCTGTTGATGGTGCCACGGTCTTTGTCTGAGACACAGGCTAGGTTCTCAGGGGTATCCTCGGCACAGGGATCAGAGTGGAAGCCGCTGAGGGCCAAAATCCGGTACCGCTTCCTCCGGTTCAGTTTATATATGCGAATCCTTTCTTGTTCTGCCTCTGGGTCATTGAGAATTCCATCCCAACGCAGACTCTCATTGACCTCGTTCGAGAGGTTCTCTTCTATTTCAGCAAAGTGGGGGAGACTTACGCTGGAGGAGAAAGAAGGGGTAAGCGTGTTTTCCTCTTTGTCCTGTCTGCACTCTTGCCTCGGGCTGTGATCTTTGCTGGGATTTAAGATGCCATGAAAAGATGTCGACAGCTGCTGATTCTTCAGGCCTCGATTCTGATGTTTCTCTGCTGAGTAGATGAGCAGTGTTAGCGTTTGTAGTGATGCCTGCATCACCCCCCTAAGCAGGGTGAACTGCTTGGGGGTGATGCCCAAATCACCAAAGACATGAGGCTGCAGCGGCCCCTCCTTACCTAGGGCTCAGGTGGCCAAGCCCACTGGCTTTGTACACACCCACCAGCTAAATGCTTTTTGTCAAGTCATTTTGGGGAGGGAGAAACCATTTATTGAGCACATACTATGAGCCAGGTCTTTGGATAAAGGCTATCAGCCCTATTTTCCAGGTGAGGAAACTGACACTCCAAAAGTCTCAGTAACTTGCCAATGTCACGTAGCACGTGGCAGGGCTGGGAGTTGGATACAGGCCTGACACCCAAGCCCTGTTCCCTGACTTCACCTCTCCACATGCTCACAGAGATATTTTTCAGTGCTAGAAGTCTGTGACTCTACCCCCAGTCTAGACTTCTTTATGATGGAAGAAATAGAGAACAACAGAAAAGCTTCCTACATCTGACTGTGGAAAGCAATATTATGCCAAGCCAGGAAATACTTCTGTGTGGCTTGTACTGACTTTTTTTTTTTTACATTAATAACATTCCTGAATTATATAACACACATATAAAATACTATAAGTTATGGTGCTTTCATCAGCTTATCCTATTGGGGGGGGGGCGAGAGGGAAATCTCTCCCCCCCAAAAAAGAGAAAAGAAAATTAGAAAAAAAAAATCCTCTTTTGACATTTTATATTTCCTACTCCCTGAAAACTATTTGGTGTCCTCTGCTGACAGCATGAGGTACATGCCACTGTAATTTCTAGAGTCAGAAGCTAAGGCAAGAAGACAATAAATTTCCTAATTTGGTTTTGCGGACACACATAGGGCATTTTGACCTGCACTCCAGAATCGTTTTATGCCTTTTGATTACGATTCCACCAGAAGAAGTAATAATTATAATCTTTCCCATTGCTTCTTCCCCAAAACTACAAGTTTGACACGGAGAAGGTTGCCACTCCTTCTGCTTCCAGCTTGCCAAGGGTAACAGCTCTGCACACAAAGGGCCAGGGCTCAGAAACTTGAACCCAGGACTAACCACCCTGGAGGTCAGGGTTGCTGTGCCAATGAGAGCTACCTCCCTGACAGCCAAAACCCAGGAGGGGAACCACACAGGTGACAGTGGAGACTTAGCACTCACAGGCAGGTGCATCCTATGTCACTGTTACTCTCTCTCCATAGTGGATGCCCAGTGCCTTTGTCAAGAAATCAAGAGTTCTATGAGAGGGGTTGAGTGAGATGTAGGGACTCTGTGGGTTTGTGGCAGGCGTTGGTGTGTGTATGTCTGTGACGTGTTCTCAAAAGAGTCTGGAGTGAGACCTTGCATGTATATGGTTGTGTGTGTACAGGCACTGTCTGAAAGGGGATCTATGCACCCGAATGTGGAACAGATGGGGGTGTGTGTGTGTGTGTAGACTGTGAATGTGTGTACCTGCTGGGGTATCTGTGCTTTAGTTTTATTTGGTGGTTATACTGAAATAAGGGGTGTTGTTGAGGGTGTTTGGGATTATAAATGTAGCCGTGACTGGTGTGATGGTGTGTGTGCAATCGAAGGATGGCCTTCGCAGATGGTGGTGGGGGCCACAGTCTGTGCAGGGATAATATTACTTTATATACATTTACTGGGTGTCTACATAACATCCAGAGGTCAGGTGCCCCTAACGAATAAGGGTGCAAGGGGGATCTCTGGGCAGAAGGCAGGCGTCTGTGTTTCTGTGTGTGAGAAGTGTCTACCACCGGTGTGTTGATAACTTTGGCTTAGGGAAAGTCTGTGTGTGAAGATGAGGGCACCCCTGTAGGAATGCTGGCGATTTCGGTGGGGAGGGTACGGATGTTCAGGATTGTGAGTTTCGGCTGAAGGATTAGGAAGTTGAACGAGTGTTTGTGTGCAGCTGAGCTGCCGTGTAGGACTGGGAAGCTCTGTGGGAATAATGCTGGGCATCTGGGGGTGGGGTGTCTCTGTGTGGGGTAGAGGGATGTTGAGAATTCTCGATGCAGGATTTGGGGGCTCTGTGCTCTTTGGGAAAGGTTTCTGTGGACATGGATGGTCTTTATGAGCCGGGATTGGCGCATCGCTGTGCAGCAGCAATAAGTGGTGTGCGGGGGCAGCGGAGGGCCTCTGTTTTGGACTGGCGAGTTTTGATTTCTGGTTTGAACTGGTCCCCAGGTAGATGGGGGTCTCTGTGAGGGGTGGGGGTGGGTGACCTAGGAGGAAAATCTCAGGGACAGGAGCTGAGGCTGCCGCGCTAGCTGTTCCTCTTACCGTGCCCCTTGCCCGACCCCTTGGTCTTTTTCTTCTTTTTCTTCACCTTCTGTTCGGTGGGCTCTGAGGTGCTGCCGGCGATGGCAGGCAGTCTGGACCCCTTCGAGCTTGCAGTGCCGCCCTCCCGGTCTTCCTTGTGGTCCTCGCAATCTTCGCCGTACCCCGACGCCGCGGCCTCACTGCGGTGGTCCATCTGCCCGCGGGGCCGCCACCTGTGCCTGGGGCAGCCGGAGACCCACTGCGCACCCCGTGGCTCCCGGTGCGGAGCGGAGCGCCGGGCCAGCGCCACGCGTCTCCATAGCAACCGCGGTACACCGCGCGTGCTCAATCAGGAAGCTTCCGCCTCGGTGCTGCGGCTGAACTAGGTGTGCACATGCGTGCTTCCGTCTATTTGAGACCTTGGTAGTTGGCGCTGCATAAAGGGGAGGAGTAAGTGCTCAGGCTGACACACCTCTCGTGTACTCCTGTGCGTTTAAAATGCTATTTGTACGCTCCAAAAATTTTATCTCCCGAGTTCTAGTCTCGAACATGCACCCTGGCCTTTCAAGCCCAACATGTCCCAAACAAACTTACTTCACTCGACTCCATCTCAGTGAACAAAACAGCTGGACCAGAAACCTGGCAGCCTTCCTTGTCTCCATTCTCTCCCTGTGCCCTCACCCTAGGCCTGATCTCCATGTCTGGCACGTGCACTCCTGGTTCCCGTCCCAAATGGCCTCTGCTTTCAAATCGTCCCCACAAATTATCCACGCATCTGCTGGAATGAACTTTTTTTAAGACAATTGGATAATTTCACTGGTTTAAAACCCTCCAGTGGGTCTCCATCACAATTCATATCAAGATTGAACTTTAGTTTGGCTTACAAAGCCTGGTATGATTTGTCCCCTGCTTTCCTTTCCAGGTTTATCCACCACAAATTGTATTTTCCAAAAAATGGCTGCAATAACATCTCTTATCCCACACGTTCTTCTAAACCAGAGGTTGGCAAACTTTTGCGACAGAAGAGCCAATCCTGTCCTTCACAACAAATTAAAAATTATTCAAGAGCCATAAAACAAATGAAATCACCATTATGTGAATAATATCCTTTAAAAATTTTATAAATGAAA